CACACACACACACACATACACACACAAACACTTTTCTTTTCAAAGAAAAAATGACACATAAAAATATTATTATTTATACACACAACCAGATACGGTGGCTCGCAGAGTACTGACCCACAGGCTCAGGCGTACCGGCACGCACGCACACACACACACACACACACACACACACACACACACACACGCGCGCGCGTACACACAAATACGCACATTCTGCGCCGTTTTGTCAATGCTTACTCCCTTTCTTTAGTAAATGGCTTACTGACATAATATGCTTTGCTCTCACTTTGAACTGTTCTTAGTTCTTACCACCTCCGAATTGCTCCTTCAGAAGGTACTTTAGATCTAAATCTGAATCAGTTCCGTACTCCCTGCAATAACAGGCTTGAATTCAGCGTATTTAATTTTCAAAGGGTTTTTCTGGGTTACTTCTGGACATGGCTGGTGCAATAGTGTTACCCTGACTTGTTCAAATTGGTACTTGTACATAGGTTATGTATTGTGCCCGGATGATCAAATATAATCGCTTTCAAAGTTGGTATAGATCCGTGTAAAAAGGGAGATTATTGTTTTCTCGCAGTCAACGAGTTTGGGACAGTGTCTGTCTGTCTTTCTGTTTGTCTCTTTGTCTCTCTGTCTATCTGTCTATCTGTCTATCTATCTATCTGTCTATCTATCTATCTATCTATCTATCTATCTATCTATCTATCTATCTATCTATCTGTCTGTCTGTCTGTCTGTCTGTCTGTCTGTCTGTCTGTCTGTCTGTCTGTCTATCTATCTATCTTTCTATCTACAAACACACTATTCACAAACACCAATAGATCTACATTATTTATAGTAAACTTTTTCCCGACCACCTGTAGCTGAGTTTGAAAGGCCACTAGATATCATCAGCATTAATGTTATTATTCCCAGTGATTCAGGCGACCCTAGACCTCTGTTGTGGCTCTGTGCCAGTGCCGTGTCATAACCATAAGCCCCTACTCAACGGGCTCTGTTCCGGGAGGAACCGATCACGACCGATAAGACAATATTGATCTCAGTTGAGGAAAGGGGAGGAGTGTGTGTGTGTGGGGGGGGGGGGAGTAGGTAGAGGAGGGGGGGGGGGGGGGGGGGGGGGGGGGGGGGGGGTTTAAAGACGGAATGCTTGAGAGGAGTGGTGGATATCCCACGGCTTAACTTTGTACCCCCTCTTGGGACTCGTGTTCGTATCACTTTTTTTTCTTTTCTGCTGAAATAGGTGCGTTTTATTTATTTTAAGTACATGTAATGTCCTTTAATAAGATGCGTATGGAATGGTGTGTTTTCTTTGCTAGTGAAGAGGTAACCGTGTGTGTGTGCGTGTGTGTGTATGTGTGTGTGTGCGTGTGTATATGTGTGTGTGTGTGCGTTTGTGTGCCAGTGTATGTGTTTGTTTGGGGG